AGACATACAGACATACACTACATACACTACATACATTACATACATTACATACATTACATACATTACATACATTACATACATACATACATACATTACATACATACATACATACATACATATATACATTGCATTGCATTGCATTGCATTGCATTACATTACATACATACATTACATACATTACATACATGACATACATTACATACATTACATACCTACATACATACATACAGACATACACACATTCACACATACACACATACACACACACACACACATACACACACATACATACATACATACATACATCCCTACCTACCTACATACATACATTAAGTACATACATACATACATACATGCATGCATGCATGCATGCATGCATACATACATACATACATTACACACATACATTACATACATACATTCCATACATACATACATGCATACATACATGCATGCATGCATACATACATACGTGCATACGTACAAACGTACATACATACAGTACATTACATTGCATTGCATTACATTACATTACATAACATACATACACTACATACATTACATACATGACATACATTACATACATTACATACCTACATACATACAGACATACACACATTCACACATACACACATACACATACATACATACATACATACATACATACATACATACATACACGCACATACATACATACATACATGCATACATACACATACACACATACACACATACCATTACATTACATGACGTGACATGGCATGACATTACTTTACATTACATACATTACACTACATTACATACATATATACATCAGGAGGAGGAAAGTTTTTTCTCGTCTAGCGTCTTATATACATCATGATCCTCAGCCGCGGATCAATTATCATCATTTCGCGTGGCCTGCGTGGCGGATCGTATTTCAAGTCGGAAAAAATAAAATTCTTTTAAAGCAAACCAGCTGATCCGCGATCCGCCATGTGATTCATATGAGACCTGCCAGGAATCTAAGGGGAGAGGGTTGCAGCAGCTAGTCAAGAGGAAAAACTTTTGTCCTGGTGTTGAGTGTAATTAATTAAATTGTGCATGTATATAAACATGTATGCAAAACAATATCAGCATATTGCACAATCCTTTGTAGAAAAAGATTGTACTTATGCGAAAATATTGCGCACGTACGAGTGACGTACGAGTACGTAAATGTATGTATGCGACTGTATACAATATTATTCAACTGTATATTATATTGTATGATAATTAGTAGGTTTACGTTTGGGATGTGTTAGGATTGTTGGTGCTTTGTTTGGCAATCATAAAAACAAAGCGTTTGAAACACATGCCAAACTGGAAGCACTGGGTTCCCCAAACAGATCTGACGATCCGATGCCGGGGAAATGTAGCGGGATGCCAAGTAAAGAAAACTACTCGCGCTCGAAATCTCATTCATGCAGGTTCATTCAGTGATTTTATTCGGGGGGTCTGCAAACAACCCCTCCGGCTGCTTGCGCCGACTTTCGCCGATCTGGTGGATTGCCCACAAAAATCAGAAATGCTGGTGGTCGTTTTTTGTGCCATCATCGCGAATCTTACTCCCATCTTCTTTTACAGCTGAACTGGGACAGGAATACTGAAAAACATAGGCAGAAACCCCACCAGCGAGCTTTGGAGTTTGAAAGCACGATTGTTTAAAATTGAATTGACCTTTTCAGCCAATTCAGGCGAATGAAATTAAATTCAGCCCGCCGTCCGCCACCCTGAAAACTTCAATAAGGTGCGCCTGCCTTTCATGATTTCATCATATTTCATACACTTCAATGCCCGTTGCTTTCAACGTGTGTGTCAAACTTCATTGCCGTGGGCGAACAAACGGCCAACTGCCCCAGCTGCTACGGGCAAAATGCTCCGGTTTCACAGCCGGTCAAACTTTTCGGACACGGAGTGAGGGTCGGCTTGTTGTCACCTGTAGGCGTCACTGGGAAACATCTGGAAGGTTTGGACCATGGTGGACGAAGAACCTCTAGGAATCCAATTGTTTTAACGTCATGACTCAAAGCCATTTTTCTTCCGCTGGATGCCTAGTTTGGTATAGCTTCTTTACCCCCGTCTGTTGCCAGGGAGGGGGGTGGAACCCTAAAAATAAAAAATAAAATGCAGGGGCCTAAGGACAAAATGCCAATAAAATGAGAGGGCATAAGGTAAGATAGGAAAACCCAAGCAAAATACAATGGACAGGTGCAAAAAGAATATGACGTCAGATGACGTCAGGCACCCTCCACCTGGCAACTGTTGGACCTCGGGCTCCGGCATTTTCTTTTGGGTTGATCTTGTTTAGTTTTGTTTCCTTATTTGATTGGTTTTAACCATCTTGAAAGAAAAAACCCAAAATGGAACGGCACACAAAGTGATCAGACCGTTCACAGCTGTGCATCTTTGCTATCATGCTATCTCTGTCAGTTAACTTGATGGGTCAGTCTTCTTTTTTGTGTGGTCCTTTGCCCTCTTT